CTAAATAGCTATAGTTATTTATTTGAATGTAAAGAAGCCAGATAATCAGACTATGTAATTGGTGAGTTATTGTGTGGGGTAAACATCCAGTTTCTAGAAAATTAATAAGACAAAGCAGTGAGTAATAAATTTTAACATTCAATGCATTCATCATGGGATTGCTGCTCTGAGATTCATCCATATTATCAAAAAACATGGTTGATGAAGTGAAAGTGCCCACTAGAGTTCCCTTCTGTGTCCAGTCCAGGGGAATCTGTTTTAATCACACTGGTTTGTTAAATGATACAAAAGACCTCTGGGGTGATGCAAGAGAGGAGATCCTCAGTGAAACTGGTATATCAGGCAGCGTGTGTGTGTGCATGGGGATGTGGGCATGGGCTTTAATGTGCAATATAGATTGGTTGTACCATGTGGAAGTACTGATGTCAAAAGGACTTGTTGACTAATCCACACAGTGTGTCCATCACTAGTTGGCACTCATGGTGTTTTATAAAAAAATAAAATAAAATGTAAATAACACTTTCCTAATATACTAAGGAAGTCCCAGGGGAGTGAACAGCCCTGTGACAGCAATGGTGAATTTTATTTCCTTTGAACACAAAAGAACTGCAATGCACATGGTGTCTTTGCAAAATAAGTTCCTTTTGAAACATTTGTTTATTTACACACGGAGACACACACAGAGAAAGAATACTCTAGAATAGATTCCTAGAAGTACAACTGACAATCCTACAATTGCAGGCATAATTTTAGTCAAATACAGCCTTAACAAATATTCTGTCATCCTCTGTTTCTCTCAGTATCCAAATTCCAACTGCTAATTATTTTTACTTGGCACCTAAGATTAACTGCAGGGTATCACCATGGAAGGGCATCTCCAACCCTCCCACAACAATGGTGTTCTTTTGCTAATCCTTTAACTATTCATTCATTGCTCAGTAATAGGCCATTTGAAGGAAGCTAATCCAATAGTCCTGTCCTTCTCAGGCAACCCAATGGGTTAAATAACTGGCATTTTCTTTCCCCCACCCATCAATGTGGCAGGGACTGGTATTCACATTTGTATCATTGGCTACAACTGTTTTGTTCCTTCCTCAAAACTCTTTGCAGACCATTAAGCTGAAATTTTGTAGCCTGACACTGACCAGGGAAAGATATACTTTGAATAGCATTGTACTAGTCGAAATGATAACATCTTTTTTAAAAGGACTATCACCTCTAAATCCCTAAAAGTGCCTGAGAAACTTTTCAGGTCCATTTGACTACCTGATGAAATGAGTTCCATGCTGTAGGTGTGTGTATGCAAGTATGTGTGCATAATGCAGGCATACCACACCTTAGAAAAGTTACCCTTTAAACTATAATCCCCAGAATCCCGCAGCCAGAATAGCCACTGATTGGTTAAGAATTCCAGGAGTTGTAGTTCCAAAAGTAACTTTCCTGAGCTCTGGTATACGCACATGTGTTGGCACACACATGTTTGCACACACACATGTACACACAAATACGAATAAATATGGAAATACCTTTGCCTTGAGGCAAAACTGTATGGTGCCAAAACAAAAAGTGTTGTCTGAATGTAGGTAGATTCCAGGTAGGTATTATCTATCTATTATTGTACTTATATTCCATAAATGGGATCTAAGGTGGCTTACAATACTTTTTAAACTAAAACATTAATTTACAAAAGTTCAAAAGGAATTAAACATGAACATTAATAAAAACATGGTTAAAAACAACTAAAAGTCATATTTAAAACAAACTTTCAATACAAGTTTGAAAAATACACACACACACATACATAGCACACACTTCACACACTGCAACTCCATAATTAAAATTCAAAAGCCTGCCTAAATAAAAATGTGTTCACCTGCTGGCAGAAAGACAGGAGGGAAGGGTTCAAGCAGACCTCCCATGGAAGGGAATTCCACAGCTTTGAAGGAAGGGTCTCTCTCAAGTCCTCACCAACTGTGCCTGTGAAGGTGATGGGACTGTGAGAAAGCACTTGGTGCACACTCTGATAAGGAGATATATAAGCTTATTGCACGGCACTTAAGGAACGGGAATGGAATGGAATGCAAGGGAACGGAATGGAACAAAAAAACATTTTACTGCATGAGAGAATGCCACCGATGCTGCCAGGAGTCCCCGATCCATTCCCCAGCCATTCCTAGCAGCTGATTTTTGAAGGACAATTTTGAATAGTCCTTCAAAAATGAGCTGCCAGGAATGGCTGAGGAACAGATCGGGGACTCCCGGAGGCATCAGTGGCGTTCTCCCATGCAGTAAAATGTGTTTTTGCTCCGTTTCCTTGCGTTCCGTTCCATTCCTGTTCTTCGAAGTGCGATAAGCTTAACAGTCTTTCAAATACTCTGGACCCAAGCTGTGTAGGACTTTAAAGATGATAACTAGCACTTTCAATTCAACCTGAAAACAAACCAGTATCTAATGCAGCTGTTTCAATAGGAGAGTCACACGATTCCTGGGCCACACATCAAATGCCAGGATAAAATCCCAGGGCCACATCTTATGTGCCCTTAAACAAGGTGCATATATATTCCCCACCATAAGTCCTAGATAAGACCTGGAAATGAATAGAGGATTTAAGGAAAAGGCTGGCTACAAATTATGTGCAGAACAGACACATACAGAGGGAATGGGCAATGTCACCAGCTCTTAGTCACAGTTCATTTAAGTTTAGCCTTCGGGCCACCACTTGGCAGATGCAACACAACCGACTCAAAAGAGACTGCTAAATAAATCCTAGAGCCTCTTGACAGCATGCTTCCCAGGCTGAACTCTTGGTCTTCCTTTGTTCCATTATGTCCAACACAATGAGGGTGAAGAAGGCAGTGGTAAAGGAGAGTGTCAAGACTCACAGAAGACAAGCTAACATCACCACCCAGGTGACAGCTGAAAATGACTACCCTGCATTGGGAAAGATCCTCCCATTATGGAAATGCCTGACAGTGTATATGAAATGTATCAAAATACAGCAGAATACAATAAAGACAAGTCATTGTAGTGGAAAGAGAGATGAAAAAGATCAATTTAAATCAGAGCTTGAGAAGCTAATTTTTTTCAGTAAGAACACTCAGGATGCTGTAAACACACTGCCTTGAGCTGTCTATGAGATTCTGGGAGCTGCAGTTCAAAAAAAAAAAAAAAAAAAGAAAAGAAAAGAAAGAAAATTTCTGACCTCTGTTTAAAACTTTGTTTAAGCACCAGCAATGACTCAGGTCTCAACGACAGCAAATTAGTGCTTCCAAAGCCTGAGTATGTCAGAACAAGAGTTGATAAGACAAGAAACCTGGCCATGATTTCATGGAATGTCCCTCAGACTTTAGTCATCTGCAAAAGGGGGCAGTCAAAAATAGGTCTTGCCATGGTCATATTGGATTCATTTCAATCGTTTGCCTTTTTTTAAGCCTCTTTACTACTCTGCATCTGTACTGGAAAATTTTGAAGTGCAAGCCATCAGCAGGACAATATAGAAACAATCCCATGACACAGACAGTCCAAAAGTGCAAGTCTCTGTTGATCTAAAATAAGTTATATCCATTTTTCTGTCTACCAAGAAGAGATCTTTTGTAAAGCCCCTGCTTTAGCTCCTCACAATACATTGTGAGGAAAATTCATTTCCCCTGCAGCTGCTATGGAAATTGCAACTAAACTCAGAGACAACAGAGAAATCTGAGAGGGATGGCAGATAATATCATAGGGTGCATCTACACTGTCGAAATAATACAGTTTGGCACCACTTTAATTGCCATGGCTCCATCCTACAGAATCCTGGAATTTGTAACACTTTAGCAGAGAAGGCTAAAGACCTTCTAAAACTACAAATCCCAGGATTACACAGGATGAAGCTACAGTACTTAAAGTGGTGTCAAACTGAATTATTTCTACAGTGCAGCTGCACTTGATGAGCCAATGTGGTGCAGTGGTTGAATGTTGGACTGTGACTCTGGAGATCAGGGTTCAAATCTCAGCTTAGCCATGTACACCCACTGGGTGACCTTGGGTATCACACTCTCAGCTTCTGTGAATAATAATGGCAAAACCTCTCTGAAGAAACTTGCCAAGAACACCCTGTGGTAGATTTGCTTTAGAGTCACCATAAATCAGAAATTTGAAGGCATACAACAACAAGATGTACCCATAGCCCCAGCTAATAAAAAAAAACAACAACCCATAGGGTTTTGACCCTATGAGCTCTGGTTTCACCACACCACTGCTCTGCCAGTTTCTTACATGGTGAATTATTGTAAAATAGTGTATTAATTTACGTAAGTCTAACATTTGTGAACCAAGTTGGAGATATAACTCCAGAGGAAGCATGCTGAAGGCAACCCAAATATGAAAAAGGAATGATCTTTTTCCTTGTTCAGATTCTACTTCCTAGCAGAAATAACCTTTAAGTGTGCTGAGGTGGATGGAGCACTCTCTTTTTATTAATTTATTTACAGGCATGCAGTGACCTGAGATAAGTCATAAAAAATAAATCAGGATGCTTGGGATTCTCTCATGGCACAAAGATCTAAATCTGGAACCATGGTTTAATCTTTGTGCACACGTCAAAGCCAGTATTTTGATTCTATCTGCACAAGCTATTGTACACGCATACTTATACTATATTATGCTCCATATGCTGTTGCAGAAGCCATTGCTTAGTCCATTGCATTAGTCCCTGTTTCATTAGTTTGTTGTACAAACCCTTGGACAAGGCATTAGGCAAGATGTTCCTTGTATTAGTTATATTGTGTTTTTCTGCTAGTATTTGCGCAAGCAATAAGAGAAGTCGCCTCCATTACTGAGAGGAGAAAATAAAGATCCATGAAATCCTGGCATTTTATTTACTTATAAGAGAGCTCTACCATGCCCAATTTGAATTAGGACCATAACTCAATGGCAGTGAAGTCTGATGGGATAGCAAATGATGTATTATCTGCCCCAAGCATCTGGAAATGATGGAGGGAATCTTTGCAAACTGTCTGACGCTTTGGCTTTTTCAGTGGAACAAAAAAAAATCACTTTCAGTGTCTCTCCAATGTGAGTTGTCATTATCATCATCATCATCATCATCATCATTACCTATCTCTCTTCATGAATTGAAGGGAGAAACAACAGACTAAAATACAGCAACAAATAGATGCATGACACAGTTAAAAACATGAATACCAATTAAAATATACAATACATTAAAAGAGACTAATATCAGTTTTAAAAGTATATGTATTCAAAACAATCATTTTATAATTTAAAAATTTGTAATTTAAGAAATATCCAGGTAGTTCTGAAGCTCTGAGGAGAGTGATGGAGAAAAACTACAGTAGGTTTGCTTACTGCCTCCTACTCTGCCTCCTTTAGTAGTCAGAATAGCCTAGTTCTGGACTCTCTCTCTCTCTCTCTCTCTCACACACACACATATATATGCGCCTGGAAATGTGAGTAGGAAAGTGTCTTGCCTTCTGCCTCTTCTTGCTTTGAGCTTCAGAGCTGATTAATCACTGACAGATGAAAATGGGTGTGTGACACTTTCTGTAGCTTATATTAAAAATAGAGAAAATATTCTGATCAGGGAGGGAGGAAAGTGTGGGCAATCTTCAGGGAAACAAAGCCAAATTAGGAAAAGAGTATAAAATAGGAGGTACTGGGTAGACAATCTCAAGTCCTGTGTGTGATAAACCTTTCATTCAAATGAAAATTGCAATCCTGGAATGGTTCCTAAGGTGCGAAAGGGAAGAGAGCAATTCCATATCATTTTTAGAAAGAACACTATTTTAGCAGGAGAAGAGTCTCAGGTGATAAAATCCTAAAGTAACCACAAAAACCTGCAGGAAGCAAAGCAAAGCAGCTTCATTTATATACTGCTTCATATTGTGCTATGGGATGTCTAAGCGGTTTACAACTGTAAGCTCATTGCCCCCCAACAGTTGGGTACTCATTTTAGCGACCTCGGAAGGATGCAGGCCTGAGTCTAGCCTGAGCCCTGGCTAGTATTGAACTCACAACCTTGTGGTCTATGATATGATGGTTGGGCCTTATTGGGAGACATTAAGGCAGTTATATGCACATCATCCCAAGAATCTCTGTGCTCATGCTTCCTCCCCAGTGCACAAATCCATGATGTGATGAACAGGTGCCTGAGACCTATTAAGGCATATTAAGGAGATCATTTTCCTTTCTTGTCCTTGCTTATCTGCAGCTATTTATTGGGACTGTTCTGTCACTGCATTTCCTGTACCCCACAAGGGCTCAGCCTAGATACATGTCACCCTTCAGTTCTGTGATTCTAAGATTCAGAATTTTTTCTCCAATACCACAGCTACACATTGACTGAAGCTACTATTAACCATCAAGAGAACTTTTAGGTTAAATAATATAATCCCATTCTCCTTCCTTTTTTACAGCTTTAACATGGGAATTGAAGTGGGAGAATCAATGCAGGATAGAGGGTTAGATTCTCCTTACTCATGCCATGGCCCTGATCCCAACCTGGTTTCTGTGATTATTTTTGTAAGATTATTTTAAAATCCTCAGTGGTTTCAGCAACAGAGATCCCACACAACAGAAAGCATTATCTGATTCTCCACACGTTAAATTGAGTAAATTGTACAAGGAGTGGCTATTTTCTTTCCTGGCATTTTTGTGATCATATCCAATCCTTGGATGTAAGTATATCCTATTTAAAAAGTGTATTTAGACTGAGAAAATGGCATGTGCGGATGGGGTGGAGGTTGTAGAAGAGTAATCTTCTTTCCCAGCATCTTCTGTGATCATATTCAGCTCCTTCCTGCATGACTTTCCTGTATCATTTTCTTAATTTAACACCCTACTCCCCTCAAACTATTAATGTGTGCAGGAAAACATATTAGTATTGTAGAACTGTAGAGCATATTGAGCATGCGGCAGTCTCAAGAATCAGTTTGGACCAGGAAAGTGACACTGAAGAAGTGCTTAAAAGCCTTTTACCAAGGTGATTTGGCTCTCTGCAGCCTGCATGCTATTTTGGGGGCAAACAGTGGCCTTAAAGAAAATTAAGAGTGGATAAATGTGTTGAAACAAAGATTAGTCTCTTGCCCCAACATACATTTCCCCATTAATGCAGCAAATGCCAATACAGCCCCCTCCACCATCCTCATGGCTGTGTTTCAGCTAAGCTGGCTGCACAAAAATAGGAGACTTTGATAAGAAGCAGTGTGGCTCATCTGTAACTCTTCCTTGGCTTTAGGGAATGGATTTATTTATTTATGCTAGCGATGTCCATACATGACTTTGAATCATGCATGAAGCCCATCAAAGGTAGAAAAATCTGAGCCTCCTACCATATATTGTGGTTGGTAAGGCTGGTCTTACCCCTAGGGAAAGGTGGACAGTTACTGGGAGATAGTAACACGATGCTAAGGAAGAAAGTTATGTACTGGATGGCCTATCTTCTCATGGGGTAGAGATCAGATGCCGTCCCATCAACAGTGCTGAAGAAAAATATTCAGCTGCCAATCCAGTCAGGTTGTGTATATGGACTAGGATAGGACACCATTCAGACAGCAAAATTTCACTGCTGGTCATTGATTGATTGGAAGTATGATATTGAAGTTGAGGGCTACAGACTCTGTAAACTATATGTGGCTCATCAAAAATATCCTATAGAACCACATGTGATCCATTATTTTCCTTTGATATCTGGACAACATGATCCCAAGGGAAATACCGGTGATGGTGAATGCAGCAATAACACCTGTCAGGCATGTTTTATAGCAATATGTCTTTTGTTTTCAGAGGAAATCAGTGTGAGCAATGAGAAATTTAAATGCACTGTTTTCTGTATCTTGTATTTCAACAGTTGATAAGAAAATGGTAATGTTATTGATCGCTAAATCTCCTTTTGTACTTCTTCAGCAATGAAGGCTTTGACATTTATCTCTCAAGCCAAAAAAAAATGTGTGGATTATGAATGTTATTTGACAAGACAAATATTTATGTTTAATAGCATAGACAGCCTTATTAACTGTGAATAGCATTATTCAAACAATCAATGCTTGAGTATAATTCAAAGTCCCAACAGCTAGTTTGTTTGTTTTTTAAATTAGTTTCTAGAGAAAATATTGGCCAAAGTTTATTGCTCACCTGCCCTCTTTAATTTTTGACCAAAAAAACCCCCCCTGTATTGCTTTGGTCGTTATGGCCAGCCCAAAATGTTTTGTTGCCTGGGGTAAAATAATAATAATATGGTGCCTCCTCCTTCTTCTTCTCCTCCTCAGTTCCTTATGGAGAAGCTAAATGGGCTGATAGTTGAATCTTCTGCTGCCACTCTTGAGAGCAGAAGACTTACAAAGGGGCATAATGCATATTCATGCATGATATATGCCTACTGGCCTGCACAACATATGGCCTGGGGGCCACACGCAGCCTGCCAAAGGATTTTGGGCAGCCCGCAAGGATGTGGAATGACTTCAAGGCTCCTCTTCTGCTCAGGCTTCTCCTGAGGAGAGGGCCATGTGGAGGAAGAGGAGGAGGAGGAGGAGCTTGTGTTCTCATAAGGAGAAAGCCAGAAGCCAAGCAGCGGAGAAGCTTTGTAGCGCAAGTATTTGCCCTCCTCCTCCTCTGCTGTCTGGCTATCTCCTTAGGAAAAAACACAAGCAAACACTCACCCTGCAAAGCTCCTGTGCTGCTTGTGTTATTCTTAAGAACGAGCCATGTCAATCAATGTCCAATCATTCTGTTATACCTGTGTAGTGTAGATACACTACATCAGGGGTCAGCAACCTAACCCTTACCCTTACCCTTACCCTAACCCTAACCCTAACCCTAACCCTTTTTTTGCATGTGCAATGCGGGGTGCCATTCTGACTACACAAAGGACATCTAAGTTCCTCACTATATCAAAAGCTCACTGATTACTATGCATACTCACCTCTAGCTTTTACCCAGACCATACTACCAAAGCTCCTGTACAACCAAGCCCTCTTATACAACCATGTCTGCTCATATATAAAA